TGTTCGCGAATGACGAGCCAGTTTGACATCCCTAATATTAATATATATAAATAATATATTATATTAATTATATAACTTATATAATATAAATATATAATATCTATATTAGTATATTATTAATATAGTATATTAATATATTATTATTATTAATTTATTATGAATTATAATTTATAAAATTTAATTTTTTTAAATATCATAAATTTTTAATATATAATTATTTTAAATTATTTTATATTCGAACAATAACGATTCGAACACGAATGAACGCATCACTGTTCGTATTTGGTTAACTTAACTAACCGAACGAAAAAAATTTATTCATGTTTGTCTTGTTTATTTATTGAATGAATCGAACACGAACTCATTGAGGAACAGAACACAAACTGTTCGCGAACAACGAGCTTTTTTTGACAGATAAGATTCGAATTCAAATATACCAACAGCTAACTTTATAAAATTAAATATATAGGAAGATTTACATACATACCACTCAATTCCTCAATTTTTATGTATTTACATATCTAACATTTAAATTTAAATTTTTACAAACCTACCACATTACTAATATGAAATGGTTCATTTCACTTTTTTTAAAGTGAAAATTATGGGTGGTAAATATAAAAAGTGAAGAATAGGAGAGTTAGATATTTAAATACATAAAGATTTCGTGGTATTTATGTAAATGCTCCAAGTATATATAGACATGCCCGCCATCCTCTCCAGTGTTTCCCCTTCTCTCCCAGCTTTTAAAGCTCCAATGCGAGCAATGCACTCTTCGGCTCCTGCTTGGAGTTCTCTCTCACTCTTTTTTTTTAGATTTTGATTCAGTACTCCGTCTGGATTTCTCTTGATCAATAAAGTTCTTTTTTTTTTTTTGTTTTTGCTTCTGGTCTCTGTTCCGAATCTCTACTTCTATGAAGAAGTTTCAATTCTTTGTTTTTTTGGTGGAAAGTTTAAGATCGTAGGGCACTTGCATTTGCGCAGTTGGGACGAAGAACAGATATGTAATCCGTATTTTTATCTGAAAATTTGAGTTCTTGAGTGATCGGAGGGAGCATGGAGGAGACATTTGTGCCTTTCAGAGGCATAAAAAATGATCTAAAAGGGAGATTTCTGTGCTACAAGCAGGACTGGACTGGAGGGTTCCGGTCAGGCGTTAGGTATTGTTAGAATTTGTTTCAGATTTTCAGATTTTTCTCTCTTTTAAATTTCATGTCATTATGTTCTATAATCCGAAATTTTATGCTATTTTTCTCAATTTATTTCTCATTTTTCGTTATTGTTGGTAGAATTCTGGCTCCCACGACCTACATCTTCTTTGCTTCAGCAATTCCTGTAATTTCATTTGGAGAGCAACTGGAGAGAAATACTGGTAAAAACATATAAATTTTACTCAAAAGTTTTTCTTCAAGTGTAGATTGTAGAAGTTTTACCTCTCTAAATTTAGGTTAAATCTTTTTGCCCTCTTTTATCTGGAACCCTAATTCCTACACTAAACAAATTACATATTCTATTGATTTTTTTTTTTTTGGGTTTGTGGAAAGTGAATTTTAATTCAATTAAAACTTGGATTATGAACAGATGGTGTGATTACAGCAGTGCAAACCCTAGCATCCACTGCAATTTGTGGGATAATACACTCAATAATTGGAGGTCAGCCTTTGCTGGTCCTTGGAGTTGCAGAACCTACAGTCCTCATGTACACATTCATGTTTAATTTTGTGAAAGATAAAGAAGAATTAGGCAGAAAGTTGTTTCTGGCTTGGACTGCATGGTAAGCTTTCACATAAAGATGAACTTTTGGAAATTTACTTACATACCACACAAATCTGATGTATTTACATATCTAACATCTAAACTTTCTGTCTCATAGTCACATCAAAACCTACTTATGAAAAATGTGTATTTCACTTTAAAAAAGCTAGTAATAGTAGTGTTTTTGATATGTTCTTAATGGTATGAATGTTATGCAAGCAAAAATATTGAAGTTTAGGTGTTAGATAAGTAAATACATAGGAATTGTGTGGTATGTATGCAATATTTTATGTAAATTGTGGTTCTATCAATGATAATTTATATAATTTTATCTTCAACATAATCTATGATTTGTCTTTATTTTTATACTTTCAGGGTGTGTGTGTGGACTTCTTTCCTGTTATTCCTACTGTCTATTCTCGGCGCATGCTCAATTATAAATAGATTTACCAGAGTGGCTGGTGAGCTATTTGGTATGCTGATAGCGATGCTGTTTATGCAACAGGCTATTAAAGTAAGAAGTGAAATCTCCGCTCTTTTTTTAAATTATTTTTAGTGAAATTTACACACGTAGCACACAATTCTTATGTATTTAAAAATCTCACACTTGAACTTTCACATTTATAGTTGAATCCAAAAAAGTCCGAGAAACACACTCAAGGTATATAATGTTCTGCTAGGACGTACTTAGAGAGAGAGAGAGAGAGAGAGAGAGAGAGGGCACAAGAAAAGATTCTAGCTTTTCTTCATGGCATGGATCCCCTATTTAGAGGAATAGGTCACAGTTGCTACAAAATTACAAGTCTGCCCCCTCATTATTATGTTTGAGGGGGGTCGTTAGTAATTATAAGAACATTAGAGTATAATAAGGCTGCGAATATATTTGGTTGATGAGAAGTCTGTCGACCGTTTGTTACGCCTTAACTTTATTGGTACAGAGTCCGGGACTGAGCAACTCGTCGATTGTCTTTGGAGTCGATCGTCATTCTATAGGAAATTATTCGTTGCATTCTTCCAATCGCCTGACCTCAACGCCTTCTCCGTTAGCATCTAATCTCGATCGTCAATAAGGCGTCCAATTGATCAATCCTCGCTTCAGATCCATCCGTTTACCTTAAGATTTGCGTTGACATATTTTTCATATACATTTACGTACATAACATAACACTTTGGTGCTTTTAACCTATGTATGAAAATGTGTATTTCATTTTTAAAAAGTGGTAATAGTGGCATTTTTATGTGATATTAAAGATTTGAGTGGTGTGTAAATATGAAAGTAGGTGTGAGATATGTAACTATACAAAACTTTTGTGCTTTGTATGTAAATGCCCCTTTTTTTAAGTTCTAGTGCTTGTTACAGCTTTACAAGTGATGTGGTTAGGTTTATTGAATTCAATATTGTGATAACACCGCTTAAATCAGGATTTCCTTATCAAATAGTTCCATTTACCTGTAAGTTATTAAACTATAAAGTTATGATTTAAAGATTAAAAGGTATAAAGAAACTTTTTGCAGCACTCTCTTTGTTATAAAAAGAAAAATGACTACTTGCTGAGGTTGAGTTGCCTTAAATTACAAGTTAATAACTTTGAATTCTGATATTTTGGGTTCAAATTTACATTTATGACTCTCTTGTGAGAAACTTATAAAAGTGATAATTTTTTATTATTTATTATTTTTTTGGGGCATTTACATATATACCACATAATTCTTATGTATTTACATATCTAATACCCAAACTTTCATATATTTACATACACGACACTCAATTCTATAATATCACATCAAAATTACTACTATCGCCTACTTTTTAGAAGTAAAATAAATCTTTTCAGGCATGAGTTTTCGACATTAAGTTGTTATAAATGTAAAAGTTAAAAGTTTAGGTGTTAGAGTGTACATACGTAAGAATTGTGTGGTATGTATGTAAACTTACTTTTTTTTTTTTGTCAAGTGCCTTCTCACATGAGTAGCTTTTAAAGCTCCAATGCGAGCAATGCACTCTTCGGCTCCTGCTTGGAGTTCTCTCTCACTCTTTTTTTTTAGATTTTGATTCAGTACTCCGTCTGGATTTCTCTTGATCAATAAAGTTCTTTTTTTTTTTTTTTTTTTGTTTTTGGCTAAGGAACACTGTACATCTAAATCGCTAAGACTCAACAGATTATGGGCCACTCTTAGAGAAGATCAACAATAGAACTTACCAACACCTTAAGAAGACCACTTTCATAAAAGAAGGATGCCCGTTATCTTATAGTGATACACCCTCTGCCTGATTAAATAAACATTTACTAAGGATAAGGAAATCTTCATTAAGGGTTCCCTCAGGAAAACGACCAAAGATCCATCAACCGATTAAAAAAAAATTAGGAGACCGATTTATTACAAATATGAAACAATGCCAGTATTTGTTGCTAATGAGAAACGGTACCAAAAACAGTTACTAAGGTAAAAAGATACCAACAGCGGTTACAAATATGTAAATATATAATGGTTCATTAATAATTTATATTGTTCCTATTTAATTAAGGATAAACATGTATTTTATTAGGCTACTCATATGATCTATAAGTAGGGGAGTCAGTTCTTCCAGGAGGACTATTGATTCTATTCCAAGAGAGTTGAAGCTATTGTGGACTTCCTCTTTCTCTCTCTTACTCACATTCTCTCGCTATTCTCTTTTCTTTATTCCTCTCATCCGTCCGATGCTCTATCCTTTGAATGTGAGCCGAAGAACATTTAGGAATTCAATATCTTAAAAAGGTTTAGTGATTGTGGAGTCATGCCTTTAAAAAGAAGAGCGTGTCACATAGAAGAAACTCACTTAGGGGAAACTTCTAATAACTATTACGTTTGAGAATTTATGCAACAACGAATTCAGAAATTTCAAGATCAAATAGTGAGCCAGATGGAAAAACTGAGCAGTGTGATGCTCGAGGGGAGAGCACAATTTCTTCCACAACCTAATCCTCAAGCACCTGAACCCCAAAGCCATCAGATGACCCAATGAGCCAAACTAGTGGAATAATCCCAATACCATGATAGTGTTGGATCCATGCCAAGGAACATACCACAACCGGGACAATTGAAAGAATACCTTCGACTAAAGAATGCATTCTTCCGACAGATTATTGATGCATAGTTCCTCAAAAAGTTCAAGGTTCCATCTTTGGAGTTATATAAGGGTTGGAGTGATCCGATCAATCTCATTACATTCTTTGAGCCAGGTATATGCCTTCTCAAACTTTTTTATGCATGGAAGTATTGATTGTTCTAGAACACGCTGAAGGATACAGATCTTAGGTGTTGAATGGACTCCAGTTTGGAATTATTACTTCCTCTGCAGAGTTCAAAAAGTTGTTTATGACATCGTTTGCTAGTGCCTAAAAGCCCCATAAGGATTTGGAAGCTCTATGGCACGTAAAGCAGAGGCAAAAAATGTCATGAAGTTCCACAAGGAGATGCTAGAGGTATAGAATATGGAGCCGACAATCACAAAGGATTCCCTGGCATCATATTGTTGAATCCGAAAATGTCCGAGTAACACACCCAAGGGATATACTGTTCTGCTAGGACGTACTTAGAGAGAGAGAGAGGGCACAATAAAAGAGTCTAGCCTTTCTTCATGGCACGGATCCCCTATTTAGAGGAATAGGTCACAGTTGCTACAAAATTACAAGTCTGCCCCCTCATTATTATGTTTGAGGGGGGTCGTTAGTAATTATAAGAACATTAGAGTATAATAAGGCTGCGAATATATTTGGTTGATGAGAAGTCTGTCGACCGTTTGTTACGCCTTAACTTTATTGGTACAGAGTCCGGGACTGAGCAACTCGTCGATTGTCTTTGGAGTCGATCGTCATTCTATAGGAAATTATTCGTTGCATTCTTCCAATCGCCTGACCTCAACGCCTTCTCCGTTAGCATCTAATCTCGATCGTCAATAAGGCGTCCAATTGATCAATCCTCGCTTCAGATCCATCCGTTTACCTTAAGATTTGCGTTGACATATTTTTCATATACATTTACGTACATAACATAACACTTTGGTGCTTTTAACCTATGCATGAAAATGTGTATTTCATTTTTAAAAAGTGGTAATAGTGGCATTTTTATGTGATATTAAAGATTTGAGTGGTGTGTAAATATGAAAGTAGGTGTGAGATATGTAACTATATAAAACTTTTGTGCTTTGTATGTAAATGCCCCTTTTTTTAAGTTCTAGTGCTTGTTACAGCTTTACAAGTGATGTGGTTAGGTTTATTGAATTCAATATTGTGATAACACCGCTTAAATCAGGATTTCTTTATCAAATAGTTCCATTTACCTGTAAGTTATTAAACTATAAAGTTATGATTTAAAGATTAAAAGGTATAAAGAAACTTTTTGCAGCACTCTCTTTGTTATAAAAAGAAAAATGACTACTTGCTGAGGTTGAGTTGCCTTAAATTACAAGTTAATAACTTTGAATTCTGATATTTTGGGTTCAAATTTACATTTATGACTCTCTTGTGAGAAACTTATAAAAGTGATAATTTTTTATTATTTATTATTTTTTTGGGGCATTTACATATATACCACATAATTCTTATGTATTTACATATCTAATACCCAAACTTTCATATATTTACATACACGACACTCAATTCTATAATATCACATCAAAATTACTACTATCGCCTACTTTTTAGAAGTAAAATAAATCTTTTCAGGCATGAGTTTTCGACATTAAGTTGTTATAAATGTAAAAGTTAAAAGTTTAGGTGTTAGAGTGTACATACGTAAGAATTGTGTGGTATGTATGTAAACTTACTTTTTTTTTTTTGTCAAGTGCCTTCTCACATGAGTAGTTATGTTTCAAAGTATTATCATAATTTTCTTACTGATTTTTCTAGTCCCCTCATTTTGAATTGATTGGAATGCGCTAAACAAAGCGTACATTTATTTTTTCAATATCTTAAGCTGCTAATGTTAATTTTTAATGGCCCAAGTTGATCTGCCAATCTAATTTTTGGAATCTATAAAGTTTATGACACTTCTAAGGGACTTGATAAAAATCATGAACTTACTTGAGATTTAGGGCTTGTTTGGGATCATTTGTTTTTTTGTTTTTTTGTTTTTTTGTTTTTTCTTTTGTTTTTATTAAGAAAATGTTTATTTAGTTCACTTTTTTCTTGTTTGTTTTCAAAAACAAATTAGCTTATTTTTATAAACATTCCAAATGTATAAAAATTATTGAGTATTTTTAAAAATAATTATTATAATATATCAAACATGTATTTCAAATAAAAATATAAATAAAATAATACAAAAAATAAAAGCGATCCCAAATAGCTCCAAACTTATTCAGACTACAAGCATCAAATATGTTATGAAAAATTATCCACTTCATTGGAATTCATGTTGAAATGATTGAAACCATGATCAAAATACATTGAAGATTCTGTGTACATATCTTATAGGGGCTCGTGGATGAGTTCCGTATACCCAAAAGGGAAGATCAAAAGGCGCTAGAATTTATTCCATCCTGGAGATTTAGCAATGGAATGTTTGCTCTTGTTCTATCATTTGGCCTTGTAATTACTGCATTGAGAAGTAGAAAGGCGAGATCTTGGAGATATGGTTGCGGTATGTCTTCATAATAAAAATTATAAATTTAACAATTTAAAGTACTCTAATGCAAATTTTGAATGCATATATTGGTGTGTCTTTCCTTTAATAATCATCTTTTGTTAGTTGTTTAAAGCTAAGATGAATAAATTATTACTGCAGGCTGGTTGAGAGGTTTCATTGCGGACTATGGGGTGCCTTTAATGATTTTGGTATGGACTGCGGTTTCTTATATACCTTCTAGTAGTGTTCCTAAAGGAATACCACGACGCCTTTTCAGCCCAAATCCTTGGTCTCCTGGTGCTTATGAAAATTGGACTGTTATTAAGGTATGACTCTTATCATTTAGAAACTGCAAAGCTGCTTTTCTGTGATAAGACGTGCCAATTTAGTCCTTGGAATTTTTGCAGGGAGACTAGTTTGACACTTTTATAAACTGGGACTAAAACGATCCCATGTAAATAGACAGCGGACTATTTTCACACTTTGTTTTTTCATTAATGCTTTCCTAAGACTAAAAATTAACACTCTTCAATCAAACAGGAAATGACACATATGCCGGTGCTCTATATACTTGGGGCATTTATCCCAGCTACCATGATAGCCGTTCTTTATTATTTTGATCACAGTGTGGCATCTCAGCTTGCACAGCAAAAAGAATTCAATTTGCGAAAGCCTCCCTCGTTTCACTATGATTTACTTCTTCTGGGTTTTTTGGTACATTCCTAATTCCTCTTCCTTCCCTTATTTCTCTTAAAGCTTTTACAAACCACTTTAATCAAACTAAGTTAGGGGTATTTCATACATACCACATAATTCTTATGTATTTACTTATCTAATAACTAAACTTTCATATTTACTGACACAACACTCAAATCTTTAATATCACATCAAAAATATTGCTTTTACTTGACTTTTAAAAATGAATACACCTTTTCATGCTTAGATTTATGACACCAAATAAAAGTTTAGGTGTTGAATATTTAAATACATAAGAATTGTGTGGCATGTATGTAAAATTTCTATTAAGTTGACGATCACTAATTTCAAAAGCTCACTTTAATTTTGCAGACTTTACTTTGTGGCCTTCTTGGCGTACCCCCCTCAAATGGCGTTATCCCCCAATCGCCGATGCATACAAAGAGTTTAGCTACTCTCAAGCATCAAGTAAGCTACTCAAGATCCTCGAAAATGTTATCCAAATAAGATCATATAGCTTCCGTGCCTGGTTTGTCAATTCGGTTTCACATTTGTACGGGTCCGACCCGAAATTAAGCCGACCCAAAACTGTTTCACCTTAACACAACCTGAATGTCAAATGGGTTGAAAAGTCCAAACCAAACTACGACTCACCTTCAATTTGCTTACCTGATAAAACCTGCTTAAAATAAGACAACCGCTATTCGGGTTAGATTTTGGTCGATATTGAGTCAATCTTGGGTCAATTTTGGGTTGGCAAATTAATTATGAGTCAATTTCAGGTTAGTGGATAAGTTTCAGGTCAACTTTGGGCTGGTGGGTCAACCTGAACCAGACCCAGAAAAGTAAATGGTTTAGAAGACCCAAAAATTATCCGGGTCAACACAAATTCGGATTTTTCAAGTAGAGTTCCGGTCAAGTTAACATGTGAGGTCAATTTTTGACACCCCTAGGTGATTTATAGTATCTTGAATTTGTATTAACATTCGTTCCGTCTTCAGCTGCTTCGAAACCAATTAGTAGCAAGTGCGCGACGAAGCATGAACAAGAATTCAAGCTTAAGCCAATTATATAGTAACATGGAAGAAGTATTTCAGCAAATGCAGACCCCTCTGATCTACCAGCAGCAATCCGTTCAGGTATTCTTATTCGTGTTTGCTTACATTCATCCAAAATGTTGAGAGAACTCATTTTTCGCTGGAGTTGAAAACCATCTGTGCAGGGATTGAAAGAACTAAAGGAATCTACCATCCAAATGGCTTCGAGAATGGGAAGCATCGATGCTCCAGTGGACGAGACGGTGTTCGACATAGATAAAGAGATCGATGATCTATTGCCTGTCGAAGTTAAAGAGCAGCGACTCAGCAACTTGTTGCAGTCTTCCATGGTGGGTTGCTGTCTGGCTGCAATGCCAATTCTGAGAAAGATTCCGACTTCTGTGCTTTGGGGTTATTTTGCTTTCATGGCTATAGAGAGCCTGCCTGGAAACCAATTCTGGGAGAGGATTCTCCTACTCTTTACTGCACCAAGCAGAAGATACAAGTAAATCTTTCTCACCTTTCTTTTCACAAGTAGAATTTAGCCCGTGCCTCGAATAAAGTACTTAAAAAAACTTTGCTTTTACATTTATACCAACAAAGTATTTTATTTCACGTCAAAAATATCACTTTCTTAACTTTGAATTGATGAATTGCACCTTTTCAAGCACAAGTAAGGTGGTATGTGCGTGAAGTTTTGGTGTTAGAAATGTAAATAAGTACTTTAAAAAGTTTACTTTTTTTCATTGTTAACACCCAAAATCTTTTAAATCATATCCAAAAGAACTACCTTTTTAATTTTTAGAAACTGAAATGCACCTATGTGTATAAAGTGGTATGCATGTAAAAAGTGAAGTTTAGGTGTCTGATATGTAAATACATAGGATTTGAGTGGCATAGATGTAAATCTTACCCAAAAAAAAGAAAAAACCTTTGTTTGCAGAGTGCTTGAAGATTACCATGCAGCTTTTGTGGAAACTGTTCCCTTCAAGACAATAGCTTTCTTCACATTCTTCCAGACTGCTTATCTGCTTGTATGCTTCGGCATTACTTGGATTCCTATTGCTGGTGTTCTTTTTCCACTCATGATCATGCTTTTAGTTCCTGCGAGACAATATCTTCTTCCTAAGCTCTTCAAAGGGGCTCACCTTACAGACTTGGATGCGGCGGAATACGAGGAGTCTCCGGCGCTTCCATTCGGTTTAGAAATGGTTAGTTTAGTGCTTTAATCCATAAAATTTGACCTTAGAGTATTCGAATGCGGATTAAGTCTAGTTGAAGTTGATCTCTAGTTGTTATTATCCTTTTGAGAAATTTGTCAAAATAGTCTCCTGACTCTTTTGAAAAGGACATTTTAATCCCAAAGTCTATAAAAACTTCAATTTAGTCCTTATACTCTTTTAATATGGGCCGAAATAAACCCCATGGAGAAATATTTCAACCCAATTTAAAGAGTGTAAGGACAAGTTTGGCAATTTTATTAACTCTGGGGCTAAAATGACTCCATATAAACGATCAGGGATCTATTTTGGCACCGTCTTCAAATTCTTTTATATAGAACTTCATTGAACTTGTGATTAGGCACTGAATAAGTAGAAAATGCATAATTTTACTGATTTTAAGATGAGCGCACGAGAAAGTCTCAAACTTTCAGCTTCTATTGTAAGAACCAGGAAGCATCGCATTGCGTTAGCTGCAGCTCGTTTGTAAAGTTATGGCCAATGATGATGATGATGAAGATGAGTAACTACGAAAGTGGCTCTTTTGAACTTAGAAATACAAATTATTATCATGTGCTTTTCCTTATTATTTCATTAATGAGCTTAGTTTGCTTCTATTTTTAGAATTTGGCAAGATCTTGAATTATGATGTATAGGTGTTCTTTTTTTTTTTTTTTTTTGTAACTCACGCGCACACCCATATGTGCTAGTCCTTAAACTCAACCCAGTCAAGTGCTAAAATAGTCCCGTCTATTTATATTAGGTCATTTTTGTCCCCAAGTCTATAAATGTGTCAAATTAGTCCTCAAACTATTTTAACATTGGCCAAAATAATCCCAATTGAAGACTATTTTAGCCCTCATTAAAAGGATATTAGGACTAAATTCACACTTTTATAAACTCTGAGACTAAAATAGCCCCTTGATAGAGTCAGCATAACATTTTGACTGACACTTATATCTTGCTGAAAATCCCTTTTTTTTTTTTCTGGAGCAGGAGATTAAAGGAGCCGCGAGGCCGTCTTTTTCTCAAAGTGGGGAGATTCTTGACGAGATGGTCACGAGAAGTCGCGGCGAGATTAAGCACATAAACAGTCCTAAACGAAATAGCTCCACAGCAACACCAGCCAGCGATCGCAGAGGTTTGTACAGTCCTACACTCTCAGATAGAGCATTCAGTCCTCGCATAAGTGAACTAAAACAAGAAGAGAGTCCCAGGCTTGGTAAAAGAGTGTTATTTAGTCCACAAACAGGAGATTCAACTAAACATTCAAGGTTGGGGGAGGGAAGTAGGGAGTCAACTTCCAATTCATAACAATAAAAAGGAAAATTTTCATACATACCACCTAATTCCTATGTATTTATATATCAAAAACTTAAATTTTAATTTTTACATATATGCCGCCTTACGTATGCATGAAAATGGGTATTTAACATTTTAAAAGTCAAAATACTGGTTTTTTTTACGTGATAGGAAGGATTTGGGTGGTATAAATGTAAAAAAAAAATAAAATTTAGGTGCGAGACATGGAAATACATTAGAATCGTGAGCTGTGTATGTAAATGTCCCTAAATTTATGGTTCAAACTTTATGGTGTTCATATTTAACTAGTTCTGAATACCATGTAGTCTCTCTCTATACCATGCGTGTAAAATGTATTGTCTACCTTTCTTTATTACTCTCTCTCTCTCTCTCTCTTTCTACCAACTGCACTCCAAATTTTTTGCAATTTGCTCCTCTTTTGGTCTCTTATTTATGAATTTAGGTGAAATTTGAATGCTACAAAATATATATAATGAGTAAAACATGTAAAACTATATAGAAAAATTTAATTATGTTTGATGTAACAATGTATAAGCCTTTGCTAGCTTATAGTTGTCCAGCTACTTGGAACTATTCTCAATGAGTTTTAAGCCAAGGATGAATTGGCTTTAGAGAGTTCTCTTGGTGAGTTCATTTTGAGTGGAGAGTAAGTTTAAGTGATTTGATAAGATGGTTTCATTTGAAGATTTTAAGTTTTTTTTTGGTGAATTGATCCAATATTGGCGGTTAGAAAATTGACTATGATTGATTTCTTCCTTTTTTTTTTTGGTTTTTGGGAGTTGGGGGGCATTTACATGCATACCGCAATCCTCATGTATTTGTGTATTTAGCGCCTTATTTTTGTTATATTTACATGTATAACATTCAAATCTTTAATAGCATAAAAAAATAGTATTCTTTCTTACTTTTTAAAAGTAAAACACACATTTTCATTCATAAGTTTATCATATTAAAATGTTATAAATGTAACTATATAAGAATTAGGTGGTTATGTATCTAAATTACTATATATATCTATTGCACTCACATCAATCATTTAAATGCTTACAAAATTTTCCAAAGGGTTCATTTGAAAGGCTTATATGTATTCTTATGCATCTATGTTGCATGGATATAGACCATCTCTTCTTAAAAATATAGGACATAAACATCCATTAGGCACACTATTATAATATATATATATATATATATATATATAAAAAAAAAAAAAATAATAATATAAAAGAGAAAAAAAAATTTAATAGTATTATTTTTTGTTCTAGTTGGTAAAATTTATATATATTATATTTTTATTTTTAAAAATAAATTAAATTGCATTTAAAAATAATAAAAAAATATTAAAATTTTTCAATAATTTTTAAAAACAGTTATCAAAATCAAATATGTTTTAATTTAAATTAAAATATTTAAAATAAGAATAAGAATAAAAAAGATTAAAAAATCCCAAACAATCTTTAATATGTTTATAGTTAATTGTTTAATTTATTAAATAGCCAAAAAAAACATATTATTATCATACATAAATATTTAGATTTTCTTAATCAATTATTCATTACAAAATAAAGGGTCACATGAATATCGCCAAATTCTTATGTATTTACATATCCAACACCTAAATTTTGGTTATTACATTTATGCCACCCAAAATCTTTCAGCAAATCTAATATACAGCTCTTGTCAACATTAAAAAGTGATACACCCTTTTACATATATGTAAAAATTATTATTTAAGTGTTAGATGTATAAATATATAAGAAATGAGTGGTAATTACATAAATCTTTTTTTAAGTAAACATAAAAAAATATTTTTAAAAATTTTAATTTTAATTTTTAAAAAAAAAATTAATTCATTAATTTAAAACACGTGTCAACACATTTGCTACTCATTTTTTTTTTTTCTAAATATTATTAAAATTAAACACTTCTATATAGTATTTGATAGACTCACATGTGTTCAAGTAATGTCCGTGTTCAATACATGTGTGAAGATGAAAAGATTCAATCGCCTCGAGCTTAACCATATTTTAAGAACAAAAAATAAGTCTTTTACCAATAGGTTCTACAAAATTACAAAAAGAAGATAAAACAAATCCCCATAGTCTTAAATACCAGGCAAATTAAAACATAATAATAATAAATAAATAGCTTTCTAGAGCTAACAAAAATAATAAGAATATGATCAATTAAAGGAGAATTATACTCGTTCTATTTGTTGATGTACGACAATCAAAGAACTGAAAATTAAATAAAAACAGCAACAACAAAGCCTTAATCCCATTACGTGGGGTCGACTGCTTTAATCCTTTTTCTCCATTGTGTCCTATTTAGTGTAATATTTTCATTTAGTTCTCATAAATTAAGATCATTTTTTACACAATAAGCCCAAGTCTTCCTAGGTCTACCTCTGCCTTTCTTACCATTAAGTCAAATAATCAGATCATCAGATGGTCGATGTTGAATGTGACCAAACCATCTAAGCCGACTTTCTCTAATTTTGTCTGTTAACCCTATCAAAGATAAATTCATTTCGCATTTTGTCTCTAAGTGTAAAGCACTCATCCACCTAATCATTATCATCTCAACAACACTTAACTTAGTATTATGTTTCTTTGTTAAAGGGCAACATTCAGTGTCATAGAGCATTGCAGGTCTCAACGCCGTCTTATAAAATTTTCCTTTCAGTCTAAGCGGTAATTTTCTATCACACAAAAGGCTCAAAGCATTCCTCCACTTCAACCAACCAAACTTGATTCTACTATTAACATCCCCATATATATCACCATCGCTTTCAACAACAGACTCAAGATATCTAAATCGATCACACCTTTTAATAATTTGATCGCCCAAAGTTACACTTCTGTCACTAGAGCTACTACTATTACTAAAATTACATTCCATGTATTTAGTTTTAGTTCTACTCAAATGAAGGCCTTTAGACTCCAATGTAGACCTCCATGATTCAAGTTTTTCCTGGGTTTTTTCTCTCGTCTTATCCACGAGAAGGATATCATCAGCAAAAAGCATACACCAAGGTACATCCTCCTCTAAATGTCCAGTAAGACCATCCATAACTAAAGAAAAAATATATGGGCTTAAAGCCAATCTCTAATGTAATCCAACAAAAATAGGAAAATATTGGGTCAATCCTCCCTCACTTCGAACACAAGTAACAACTATACTATACATATATTTAATAACTTGAATATAAATTATATCAACACCTTTTTTCTCAAGAACTCTACAAAGTATATCTCTTAGAACCTTATCGTAAACTTTTCCTAAATCAATAAAAATAAAATTTAGATTCTACTTGTTATCTCTGAATTTCACCATCAAACCTCTCAATAAATGTATAGCTTCCATGGTAGACCTGCCTAACTTTAAAGCATGACACATCAACTTAATTTCTCTATAATTTGCACTCTTGTTCATCACTTTTATTCTCAAAAATGAAACCAAAATGCTCTTCCTCCACTCCTCGGGTATCTTTTTAGTCATTTTTTAAAATTAAATAAAAACATTAAAATAAATAAATATATATTTTAAAATTAGTGATAGTTAAGTGATAAATTTATAAATAACAAACCATGATTTACACAGCATTGTGAGGTACATTTCTTCTAATTTTTATGTATTTATTGCTCCAAAGACCGTCGCATCATTGCTTTCATTAATGCTATTTCTATAGAGTTTTAACAATTAGTAAGAAAATTTAACCATAGATAAGCTGTTCCATCAAATTTAAATGAAAAAAAAAGAAGGAAATTTTGCTTGCATACCACTCAATTATATGTAATTACATATCTAACACCTAAATTTCATACCAATATACCATTTTATTATGTATGAAAATGAATATTTCACTTATCCAAAATTAAAATAATAGTACTTTCGATGTCGTTGAATCTAAATTCGTTCGTGAACCACATATGCCGATTAAAGTGTACGACAGAAGAGATAGAACAAGAGTGCACATTAATGTACATTAATTTGACGGAATTGTGTAATTTTTTATTCACAGAACTAGTTGGGAGTACAATATGTGAAATTATATTTATGCCCTTATTTTAGTGGGCACTATGTCGGGTATTAAAGATATTTTACAGATACAATATGAGAGGTTTTGGTGGAATGAATTTAAGAAATCAAAAAATAAGGCCAAAAACTAACTGAATTCAAGTTAAATTTACTTCCAATCATGACAAGCAATTACTTCATCAAAACACAGATATTCAAAAGAGCTGGAGATAAAGAGAAAAGGCAGATATGTAAGAACTCTATAAATAAACAATTACTTCATCAAAACCAGGAAATCATTTGGAGCTGGAGAACTTGCGGCCTGTCAACCTTTCAGACTCATGAAGAATATGGTTGATGAGACCTCTGGCAGCACTATTAAATTTTAGAAGGAGAATGATATCAGAATTGTGAAAATTGCAGATTTTACATAAAAATATAGAAAGATTTACATAAATACCATATAGTTGTTATGCATGAAAAAGGTGTATTTCAGTCTTTAAAAGTTAACATTGATGGTACTTTTGATTAGTGCTATGAATATAAAAATCAAAAGTTTAGGCATTTGAAAAGTAGATGTGTATGAATTGTGTGGTCATGTATCTAAAAGCCTCAAGAAAATAAAAGGAATTTACAAAAAAAATGGTGAAGGAAAATTACTCATCCTTTAGTTTCTGGATCTTCACTGGATCAGTTTCATGCATGTTTTTCTTGAACTGCTGCCTCACCATGTCAACAACAAGCTTCGTATTGTGTTGCTGCGGAAATTAAGCTAAATATTTACATTTTGGCACTTGAAATATCTAAAATTTAAAAAGTCAGCCTAAATGCTTATATACAACTAGAGCTCATTGACAATAAACTGTTTGAATGTGCAAGTTTGAAGCCGGGTTTTCTGACCCAAATTAATCAGGATGGTTTAAGAGTCATTGAATTCGTTTTAGACCAATAATTCTGAGAGATTATGTTCATAAAAACACAAGGAAGATTTACATATATGCCACTCAATTCCTATTTATTTACATATCAAACACCTAAGGTTCCACTTTTACGTACATATCACGTTATCTATGCATGAAAATGTGAAGTTCAATTTTATTTTTCAAGTTAAAATGGTGATATTTTTGATGTGATATGAAAGATTTGGGCGGCATAAATGTAAAAAGTATAATAATTAAATACATAGGAATTCGGTGGTATCAATGTAAATGTCCCAAAACAAAAATAATAGTTCTGATAGACATTACAATTAAATTTTAATTAGGATAGCCGGCCAATATTTTTTCCCATTTAATAGGTCCATGAAAACAAAGATTTATAATTTTGTCAATTTCATTGAAGGAACACTTGGCGCATAATTCATAAGTAAAAAAATATCTATTTTGCAAACTCAAAATTATAAAACTTACACAAATTTCATTGAAGGAACACTTGGCGCATAATTCATAAGAAATGTAATTAAAACCACGGGAGGAAGATATTTTTTCTAAGTAAAAAAATATCTATTTTGCAAACTCAAAGTTATAAAACTTACACAATCATAAATCTCTAGCACACTCTCACTTTAATAAAAATCTCTTCTAGCAAACCAAATTTATAGAACAAGATCCTTGAAAATTTTGCATAATGTGATCATTAATGAGCAACAATGCTCCCAGAAATTCATAAAACTTGTTTTTCATTTTTTTTTTTATTCCTCAACAATCAAAATCAAGCTTTTCTCATCCAAAACACTAAAAAAAAAGGATTGTGCATAAAATCCATTGTAATGGAAGATGCAAAAAAGCTAAAATTAAGATTACAGGCTCCAAATTGTGTTTTTTCTTAATGTATCTGACAAGAATCCAAATAACTTGGTATAAATTAGATGAAGGAAAAATAATTACCTGGTGACCAACATAGTAAGCTCTTCTTAAGCACTCGCGGTATAACTGCCAATCAAAAAATGCCAGTTTTGGATTAGAATGAAAATTCAAAAAGAATTTCAGCAAATAAAATAAACCAGATTTGTTTTGAAGTAAAAAAAAAAAAAATTATATATATATTTAAAAAATACATACTCTGATCACATTGTCAGCAAGCTCAGGTGGCAAAGCTGACTGAATTGAAGGCATCTTTTTTTCTTCTACCTCAGATAACACCAAGCACAAAACTCAATTACCTATCATTGTTCAAGAACATCAGTACAGTACACTCATATAAACAAAGGAAAATTTACATACATACCCACTCAATTCATATGTATTTACATATTTAAAACAAAAACTTCAATTTTAGCATACATGCCACCTTTCCTATGCATGAAAATATGCATTTCATTTTTTTAAAGTTAAAATGGTGGTATTTTTTATGTGATATGAAAATTCTGGGCGTATAAATGTAAAAAAAATAGAGTTTAGGTTTTAGATATGTAAATACATAGGAATTGGGTGGTATGCATGTAAATGCACCATAAGCAAAATATGAACGTACAAAGATTCCAGAAAGAATTAAGAATTTCCTACAAACAAATAAGAACTCATCAAGAATTCCAAACAAAATGATTTTAACTTGAGCCACATAATAAGGAAATTATAGGAACCAAAACTTTCTAGATAATTTTTCTTTATTGCTGCCTAAAAATTATAATTAAGATTTCATCGGAAACTAATGTGCACAAAATAAAAAAAAAATTCATCGGCCGAATGATCAGCAAGCAATTTTTCTTTATTGCTGCCTAAAAATTATAATTAATATTTCATCGGAAACTAATGTGCACAAAATTTTAAAAAAAAATTCATCAGCCGAATGATCAGCAAGTAGGAGTGATCATACTCATAGAAGTAAATTTGGCTAAAAGGAGGACAATCTCAATAAATGAATGCAACAAAAAGAGCTGAACTTCTTTGGAATCAATTTTATTTTTTGTTTTTTCTTTTATTTTTAAAAACAAGTTGTTTAGTATATTTTTTACATGTTCTTACATTTTGTTTCTAAAAATAAATTAATATTTTTTGAAAACACTCAAAATGACTCTTAAGTGTTTTATCTTTTTAAAAATAATCATATCTTATTTAAATATGTCAACAAAATAAAATCAAAAAACAGAATCTAAAAAACAAAAGTGATCCCAAATTGCCCCTAAGGCCCTGTATGGGTTCACTTTTATTTTTTTTATTTTTTATGTTTTGATTTGAACTAAAGCATGTTTGGTTGTAACAGTTGTTTTTAAAAACACTCTAAAAATATTCTAGATGTTTAGAATGTTTTTAAAAATTAGGTGATTTATTTCTAAAAATAAAAATAAATACATACAACAATTATACTAACCAAACATGATTTCAAAAGTAAAAATAATAACAAAAAAATAAAAATAAAAATGATATCAAACATGCCCTAATATTATAAATATTTTTTTCGCATTGAAGCAAGTAATTGTGCAATCACATGTAGTACTATGTGCAGGCAAGGGGATGTCATTTTAGAGCATTTTAGGTTCAAAATTATTTAGATATCATTGCTATCACCATAACATTGTCATTAACAATGCTATCCAGAAAACAGTGTGATATTTCCAATGCAATGTTCTTACTTATCATCTTATTTAAAGAATGCATTACTATTTAGAATGATTCATAGTAATTCAGACCTTTTCTTTTCTTTTCTTTTTCTTTTTATCCATCAAGATTAAAGGTAATCTAAATAACATTCGAATTTGCTGCTATTTGGGTTTTCTACCTCTTGCCTGCTAGGGTTATTGAGATTTTGTTGATACAAGAAATACTAACAAATCAAGCATCTTTTATTATAACATAACAAAACATAACATCAATAAATGAATAAATAATAAAAGCACTGAAACAAAGAGCCTCCTAATGTTTTGTCAAATTCAAATAGGTTAGTAGGCCAATTACCCTTTTATAGGGAGGATGCCAAATTCAACATCATTCCAAATTCAGAAGATTAAATAAATTTTAGAAGGGATGGTGCTTATACGGACTAGGGTGCATTGGAGAGTGAAAAAAAAAAGGCATTTACATGCATACCACTCAATTCCCATGTATTTATTTAACACCTAAACTTTACTTTTTTACATTTATAGCACCCAAATATTTAGTATCACATAAAAAATACCTAAACTTTATTTTTACATTTATACCACCCAAATATTTAGTATCACATAAAAAAAAACACTTTTTTAACTTTTAAAATATGAAATAAATCCTTTCATGCATTAACAAGATGGTATACATTTAAAAATAAAAATTTAGGTGTTAGATATATAAATACAAAAGAGTTGTGTGGTATGCATGTAAATCTCACCAAAAAAAAAACTTTAAGCAAAGCTTCTTGAACTGGGTAAAACACAATTATTATGGTTTTGATTCATCCACTATCTCACATAAACCGCTAAAAGCTCGTCCTTAGCATTCTCTCAACAAAACATGCTTTTTTAATTAAGAAGAAATTCAATGACCCCAATAACCCATACTTCTTGGCTAATTTAGGAAAGACCCCTCCATTTGTAATTTTTCATGCTGAAGAAGTACAATGCTCAGTTAATTCTCTGGGTTAAGGAAGAACTATTGTATGATACTTCTGAAATTCCTTATTACTCATCATTAGCAAGAACATAAAATTAACAAAATTATGTAAGAAATTACATAATGAGGAGAATCTATGTTATCTATAATTCCAATCTAAAATATGTTAGGATAGGATGCTCTACATATTTCTTCCATGTAGAAATAGATACTTGAAATTATGTTTGAAAACTAAAATAAAAATCACTACACTATATTTCATTAGCAGAATTAATCATACAATTCTTAATCAATATATTTAGGTACTAATTATCCTAATCAAACAATCTTATTGAGCAAAATAAGCTAAATTATTATTATTATCACTATCTAATTAATAATAATAGCAACTAGTTTCTAGTTAACTAAATAACTAATTACTCATTAAATTTTAGTCAATTGTCTAAGTATATTAGCTTTAAATATCCATAATCAAACACTATTAGAACCAAAATTGTTTTAATTAAGATTTCAAGTTACTTCAAACAAGAGTTTACCTAGTCAGGATTAGATTGGCCTCATCGGTCAAAAAGAATGGAGTAAAAGGCTACTCAACCAAATAACTAAACTTTGTTCAATTTACATGAATTCAGCCCAAATTTGAAAAAATTAAATGCATTATCTATACAACTAGAATATTACAAACAAGTTAGATTTTGTTCATTTTACAGTACATAATTATTAAACCTTATCATATAATTTAACCGGTAGCTGAAATTTAACATTTCCAATAGCATTCTGACTGAACCTAAATCTATTCATAGTAATATCATACATGGATAGCGTTAATATAGAATAGTCTCAAGGTACATTGTATGAGGGTAAATAAGTAATTTTACCACTCTAGAATCTTCCTTTTTCCTCAATTATTCAAATTACGGTACTGAGAAAAGGGTGCGGGTAATAGATGCGAATGTTCAAGATCACCTTCCCAATATCTCTCTCTCGGTAATCTCTTTTCTCTATTCCTCAAACTACTGAAGTTCTCATGGTATAAGAGTATCAAGCTCAAGATCATTCGAACTCCCTCCTCCAGCACTTGAGATCGACAGAGCCTGTGGATCCAGTTTGGGAATCAGTACTGATCACCAAATTTGGGAAAGCAATAGTCTGATGCTAATGGAGCAGATTCCGGTTACCTCTCCCAATCCCTAAAAATCCTTATAGGTAACCTCAAACATCTTACCCAAAACTCTCTATCCACAGAAAACTACCTTATAGAAGGCACAAGTCCTCAAAGTTTTCACGGCAAATGGGTTCCTAGGGTTTCTTGATGGAACCACTCCATGTCCTCCTAAATTCACTGAAACTTTTGGCAATTTACTGGCCTTGAACGCACATTATACCTCCTGGATCCTTGTAGATCAAAACCTAATGGCAGCCATGTACTCCATAATCTCACCATCCATCATCCCCTATGTTTTGCATCTCTCTACCACAATTGAAATCTGGCACACCATTGCAAAACAGTTTCCGCCCATGAATCGTTGGAGACTGAATCAATTAAAGAATGAACTTCACAACCTCTCGATGCATAAGCAGACAATGACACAATATCTATCCAAAATCAAAACAATATTCGACAACATCCCTACAGCGAGTGGACATTTGGATCAAGAAGACATTATACTCTATACAATTTACGGTTTCCCAGCATCATATCAAAGCTTCCGTCGACTAATTGCACCCAACTGCATCCTATAGACATGGATGAGTTCTACTCTCTTTTTTGCAGTGAGGAGATTAACATAGCTAGTTATAATCAGAGAATTGAGCAGCCCACTAATGCGCAAGCCGCACTCCAAGCTACTCGGAATCAACCTCCTCTACTTGAGGTCGTGGTCAAGCACAACGCAATGCCAGTTTCAAGGGTGCGCAAAGCACACCTCAACTCCAGGTTATATGCCAAATCTATAACAAACTTGTACACTCGTACTCGGAATCAACCTCCTCTACTTGAGGTCGTGGTGAAGCACAACGCAATGCCCGTTTCAAGGGTGCGCAAAGCACACCTCAACTCCCGTTTATATGCCAAATCTATAACAAACTTGTACACTCGTCAGCTACTTGCTGGCACGGGTCCAATCTCGAGTGTATACCTCCCAAACCGGCATTACAAACAACTACTTCCAATTGGGTCATGAACTCCAGCACTACAACTCACCTTAAATCAGATTTTCATCATCTCTAGATAGCTGCTCCTGCAACCAAGGTAGAATATGTCACGATGGGCAGTGATTTTCATCATCTCTAGATAGCTGCTCCTGCAACCAAAGAATATGTCACGATGGGCAGTGCTAAACCTGTTCCAATCACACATACTGGTGTTGGCATATTCTCAACTCCTCACCGTAAGCTACTTTTACCCCAAATTTAGCATGTTTTTCTCTTTCTTACAACCTATTATCTGTTCGCAAGCTGATTCATGATAACATCTCCATCCTCTTTGACATGACTGACTTTACCATCTTTGATCCAAACATGAAGCATCATTTACTCTGGGGCACCAGCTATGATGGTTTGTACCTACTTAGTCCCTCTCCATATCAAATCCGGACACTAGCTACTTTCACACAACTTTCGAATCTTTGGCATAAACATTTCGGACATCCACATTCCGATGTACTCAAGCTTCTATCTAAGCATACACCAAGTTTAGGCATACAAACACCAACTTCTAAATGTAATAGTAGCAGTTGCAACAAAAGTCATAGAGATTCTTTTCCCTTTTCTACTTTACATACATATGCACCTCTACATTAAATACACTCTGATGTATGTGGTCTAGCGCCTATCTTATCTAATCAAGAATATAAAAATTACTTGCTTTTCATTGATGATTTCTCACACTTTCTTCGGTGTGCCTTATGATAACCAAAGATGAGACCACTCAAAAATGCATCCAATTTCTTTAAAATGATTCACATCCAATTTAATACTGTTGTGCGTGTATTATGATCTGACGGAGGAAGGGTTCCCGACTCCATAATTTTCTCCACCATAGAATCCACCAAAATTTTTCATGCCCTCACACCCCCGAATAAAACGGTGTTGCAGAACGCAAACATTGCCACATTATTGAAACCAAACGCACCCTATTTCAAGATGCCTTTCTACCTCTTTAATTTTGGGTGGACACCGCACTACAGCTATGTATCTTATTAACCGCATGCCATCCAAAAATACTAATCACAAATCACCCTACGACTTTCTCCATAACCACAAACCCACCTACTCCAATCTCAAAGTATTTGGACGTCAATGTTATCCATGGTTGCGACAGCACTCCAATCACAAACTAGTACTTCACTCTAAACCATGTTTCTTCCTTGGGTATTCTCCTTATCATAAGGGCTTTAAATGCTACCAACCCACTTCCAGTCAACTCTTCATCTTTCAACACATCTTTGATAAAATTGTTTTCCCATACCAATCATCCTCTCCTTTACCTACATCCATCCTAAACTCCATTTCCTCAACTACACCTCTGCTTATTGTTCCCCCATCACTATGTGCATCCTCCCCTCTATCACCTACCAACACCTCGATTACCACACCTTCAACCATCTCACTTGTACTCCCCACCCAACCCATCACAAACTTAGATCCCACGGCTACAGCTTCTGATCCCATTCCCACACCGCTAACCTCCCGCAACTCCACCACCCCATGCTAACTAGAAGTAAAATGGGTAAACTCAAACATATTACTAAACCTAACCTCCTCCACCAATTACACAAACCTCCCGATCCTACTTCATACATGCAAGCCGCCAAGCATGCCCACCAGAGACCCGCCATGAATGAGGAATTTTTCGCTTTACAGGCTCAAGGAATGTGGGCACTTGTTCCACCACCAGTGGACCAACCAATTCTTGGGTGTTGTTGGACTTATTGTACTGAATATCACTCCAATGACACTGTCACAAGGTACAAAGCTCGCCTAGTCACACAAGGCTATAATTAAGAACATTAAGTTAATTACCATGACACATTCAGCCCGGGGGCTAAAATGACTAATCGTCGTGTATTCCTAACTATAGCGTTCACTAGGAATTGGCTACTATTGCTATTTGACATTTCCAATGCTTCCCTCCATGGTAAGCTACTTGAGACGATCTATATGAAGCAACCACAACCACATAGGTACATTGACTCTCAATATCCCCGTCATGTCTGCTTACTCAAAAAGATGTTATATGGCCTAAAACAATCACAGCGGTAATTGTTCGCCACTATTTCAAAAAATTTTATTGAAGCTGGTTTCTCCATAAGCAAGACCGATCCCTCTATAATTATCTCACTCAAACCTGGACTCAAGACCATCATCCTCTTCTATGTTGACAACATCCTAATTACAGAGGACAACATGGCTGAAATTCAATACTTCACGACCCGTTTCAGCTCGAAATTCCAATTTAAAAAACTTGGCCCTGTCTCAATGTTTCTCGGGATTGATGTTACCCGAAAAGATAACTACCTATTTCTAGATCAGCATAAATATCTCACTCAGATTCTCCTCCAAAACAAAAGGTTGGGATGTAAACCAACCTCTACTCCGTTACCAATCAAAAGAGACACCTCTCCTCCTACCTCACAACCTATGGAGAATCTACAAAATTAAGAGAAAAGACGGGCCCCCTCCAGTACTTAACAATCACAAGATCGAACATCTCTTTCATGGTGAATCGCCTATGCCAACACATGCATAACCCAACAACCTATCACGTCCAGCTCTTAAAACGAGTCTTGCGATATCTTCAGGGCACCGCCGACTATGGACTTAAGATCACACATGGGGATCACACTTAATACTCTTTCATAGACGCGAATTGGGTCAGGGATATTGACAATTGCAGGTCCACTACATAATTCTACACCTTTTTGTGGCCATTCTCTTGGACGTCCAAAAAGCAACACATTGTTGCCCGTTCATCCACCGAGGCCAAGTAGAGGGCTCTTGCAACACCAACTCCTGAAATCAACTGGTTACGACGTCTTCTTGAGGACTTCGGTGAGGCCCAATCTCATCCAACAAAGCTCTCGTGCGATAACATCTAGACGATGGCCATAGCAAACAACTCAATATTCCACGATCTCACTAAGCATAGTGAGATCAACTACAACTTCATTCGGGATCAAATACACTTCGTCTCTCTACAAATCCACAACATCAATACCAAACAACTCAATATTCCACGATCTCACTAAGCATACTGAGATCGACTACAACTTCATTCGGGATCAAATACACTTTGTCTCTCTACAAATCCACAACATCAATAAACAAGACTAGCCCACCGACATCTTTATTAAAACATTCACCAAACAACACTTTAAGCTACTCCAATCCAAGCTTCAGGTTTTCTCCCAAACCCATCAGCTTGAGGGGGTTAATACCATACATGAATCACGTTAATATAGAATAGTCTCAATATACATTGTATGAGTGCAAAGTAATTTTACCGCTCTAGAATCTTCGTTTTTCCTCAATTATTCAGACTACTGTGCTGAGAAAAGGGTGCGGATATTAGATGCGAATGCTGGAACACACCTTCCCGATATCTCTCTCTCGGTAATCTCTGTTCTCTATTCCTCTAACTACTGAAGTTTTCACATAGAACACCAGAGAAT